CATTTCTTGTGAATGTCTTAGGCTGACTAGTACCCAGTAGCCATGTTCTCTTTGTTGTGGGGGTCATACTGGGTCAATTTACACATGCCTAGGTCAATTTGGGCATGCCTGGGTCAATTTGGGCATGCCTGGGTCAATTTGGGCATACCTGGGTCAATTTGGGCATACCCGGGCCAATTTGGGTATGGCTGGGCCAATTCCATTCAAAACTTACTTCATTTGAATGTATGAATTTTATACGTAGTACATTACAGAACAATGTTCTATTTCTTGTGAATGTTGAGGCCGACTATTCAGTGGCTATGTATTGTTGGGGTTGTACTCCCTTTTCCTCAAATGCATGGACAAATTAATATGTTTACAATTAAGATGAATACAATTGTTTTCAGTTTTATATGTTGGAGTTACTCATGACAGTTTTCATGTGACATCTTGGTATGATTTCTCACATATTCTGTGTCAACTAAACTCACAAGGTATGTTATATTTAAATTGGTTAATTACTGCACAAGTAGGACTTTTTTATATCAAATTAAAGCAAGGATTATTAATGAGTGGACTGATTTCAACCTGGTGCCCATATTGGGTTGTAGGTGTATTTAGGTTTTGTGAATATTATTTGAATCATATATTATAATTTCAATTCATACCTAACATTTACCAAACAATATGATCATAGAAATAATCTCGGTTAACAAGGTAGCCGCATGATTGGCAATCAAAACACTGTTCTGATCTCTGCAGTTACAAGATAGCTGATGCAATTCAGACGATGTTGTGCAAAATTATTAAATTTTTATTCCTATTCACCTATTATGTGATCTTTAATTTCAGAATGTACTGGTATTAATGTAGTAGATTCTCTGTTGACAAAGCAGCATCTACTTATAGTGACTACTAATGGATTGTACATCAGTCAACAGTTAAATCAATATAATTCAACACGACAGGTATCGACTTTCTTTAACACATTTGTATGGGATTACTATTATATACATAGTATTTTAGTTTAATTCAGCTTCTGGGACCTATAAATTTAGTATATCAAAGATTTATAAGATTAGCATATGCAAATATGAAAAATATGTGATGAAGGTTTAGAGGAAATTGAAAAAATCACGCAAATTGCGAGATGATCAAAAAATCTCAAGAGAAACATTTCTAGATATCCTAATAATGCAAATTAGTGAGTCTGCGCAAAAACTGATTCATGTTCATCTCAAACCGTTTTGCGATTTTCAATGCTACTATAATCTTGTTCATTTCAGTTTACGTAGTCGAACATTCCCGACCACCCACTGCATTCTCTGACACTTTTGGTTAGAACTATGTTTGATTGACTCACATGGTTTTCATTGGATCACCTTCATGTGTTCACCTCTTGTGAAGCATAGCACCATACATGGTTATGAAAGTTACATATCTTCACCTTATAAATTATGAATACATGACTTGTATAATTATGAAATTTATAGTTTGAAGACAATATGTATGGGCAACCAACTCAAAACCTGCTATTCCCTGAACGACCTGACCAGTAGAGGTCACACCTGAAAAATCTCTCCAGTTACATGACTTGTATAATTATGAAATTTATAGTTTGAAGACAATATGTATGGGCAACCAACTCAAAACCTGCTATCTTCTGAACCACCTGACCAGTAGAGGTCTAACCTGAAAAATCTCTCCAGTTACATGACTGTGAGTGTATCCATAGTAACCAGACCACACACATCCACATCAATACACACCACATGACAAATCAAATAGTTCTTAACTACAGACATATCAAAATCAACAAGGGGTGTCAGCGGGCAATGTGGTTTTATTTCAGACATATTCCATATATAAAGAAAAAAAGACAAATCTGTAAAATGATGAAATTACAAACCATACAGATTTATAGCTATTGTAGCAGCTAGACTCTTTGTCCAATGCTGCACTAAAGCAAACTTCCATCACTATTGAGCAAGGCACACGTAAGCGATAGCTTGATGTTCGTATTGATCCATAAAAGCATATACCGGTATTATCTTTCTATATAAATCGGTAATTGTATTTGTACGATTTTCAACATGGTGCTTGCGCTACAGTCACAGGCATACCCCAACTGTTTACGAAAAATGTTATTATAGTTATGTAATACAATTACTCATTTTGATTCTGTGATTCTACTCTATACTGTGTATTTATGTTATTACACGTTTTCCTTGAAGAGTTACTTATTTTTCTCAAACATGTCGTGTTTATACAGCCTAACGCAAGAGAACCTAATTTACATGCAACATTTCACATCTTTGAATGGAATTATAGAGGGCGTTGTTAATAACTATGACCATTGGGTGTCTTCACCGTTAAATTTGTTCCCGTGTAATCTCGTATTTACGTCCAGAGAATTTGCTTGAAATCTGGCATTATCACTGGGAACCAGGTAAGTTTAGCCCTTCGAATTTTCTAAAGACTCTGTGGAGCGGTTTCAATTTTATTAATGATTTTCTGTTTGACCGAGGGTTTCGTTATCGCCACGCTAAACATTGCCACGATTGCAAGTTCAGAATTATTACACCAAAAAACATAACTATACAAAGAAGTTGTATGATAACGCATCGAACAGCGTTATTTTTACTGTGGCTCAACGAAGACATTTTTATATTCCTCCGGTTTATTGGGGTGACGTTTTTCAGTTCCAAGATGGCTGCCTACGCAGACCTAGTGTGGTTTTGCTGCCCAGGTTTTCGCGACATTTTCTAAATGGCGGGTATAAAAACACGATCGAAGCTAACAAAGTGTGTCTGATATTAACATTCAAGGGCGAGTTATTGTGGCATAAACAAATTCCGTACTTCATATATAATGAAATAACGCATCTTGTAAAATGTGCGTGTCATTTGAACATGAAATGGATCTCACTCAGCGCTAGTCCTCTTTCATTTTCTTGCAATTTTAGTGTAAATTGTAATCATTTGATCCAGTATATTAAATACAATTATCCGTATTGTCATATTAATTAAATACTGTTTACATATTGAGACTGTTGATTAAATATAATTGTATACTTTTGTTTTTTTCACAGGTGTGTGTTTTCTGAGTGACTGGCTGTTATCGTTACTCAAAAATTATCGTTATACAAAATTGGTTCACGTCTCTCTTTATGAAACTTCGTCTTCCCTGAACTGTTATTTTATATTATTAAACCTGTACATATAGTTTCCTATCATTAAACCTGTACATATACCTTTTGACTGCAATGAGTTTTCTTGTCATGGATTTATCCAGGTCAGGTATGAAAAGTTACATGTAAAACCCAAACAAGTTTTTATTCTCCTAAATGCATATATCGGGAGTCGTTCTTAGTTAAACATGAATGCTCTGCATAGTGCAGTTACCAGAGATGCAGATCTATTTCACATTAGTGGAAAGGATCCTATCAGATGTTATTTATTGCGAGTGGACGAGACCTTTTTTGCTGGATACGGCATGGCATTTATTGAACATGGGACATACATGCATTCCCTACTTGAATTTTGTTTCCCGAAAGCTGCCTCGACTCCAGAAATGAGATGATTGTTTTCCCCACACAGTTTAGATTACTGGATGAACACATAAACAGGAGATAAGCGTAGACGTTTACTGTCTCTGTACAATAAACGATCGATCGACAGTTGTTAAATCACACTCAAATTAGAGTACGAAGCTCCGCACTTGTCCTTGCCCGTGAGCAAGAAAACTCGGTCTTCTTTTATTATGCTTCATTTATTTTTGGTACTAAAGAAACGCCAGGCATCATTGTCACATTGACACAGATTTTGGTTTGATGACATTCTACTGGCTCATTGGTATCACAACAAACATAATGTAGAATGTTCAAATGTCACAAATTCAGACGATTTATTCAAAACCATTAAAAACGGTACATTATGCATGTATCATAATCAGCTTGAGCTTCATAAAAATTGTTTTAAATCATCAGAAACACAATGAAAATTAAGATTGCGTATTTTAGAGTATTGATAAAGAAGATGAAGACTAAAAAATAACTGACAAAAATTGATTTGTGATGTTCTTTTGTTTGCTCACTTCCGATGATTGCTGTTTCGGTTTAAACTGAATCCTTTTTTATTCAGTTGAATGATGCAGATTTTGTTAGGGAGTTATTGGCATGATAGTTTGGGTCGAATAAACCATGGAGTTGGACATTGGCAGCAATTTTATTTTTTACCGCCCGAATTTCACAGATATAGCAGGGCAACGTAGATCGAATAAATTAGTAGTTTCACGGTAACCGAAATTACATATTTTACCGACTGATTTTTACAGACAATGGCACGGCTATCGAATAGATCACGTACTTTTCGTATGTGGGTAATTTAGCAATTCATTTGAACTAAGAAGCATTTTACCAATCAAATATGCAAATATTGGGAAGTGACAATATTGAAAATGATGGCATATGAGAAGGTTATGCAGGATACATTCACAACATAACGCGGCACTAAAGGCTATATCGTACTAAAAAAGTTACGATGATAGGTTTGTATTTTATATTTGTTCCTTTTCTTATAAGAATATTGAAGTCAAATGATTGCTACAAAAAAAAAACTTTTTAATATAGTATGTTTTTTTTGTATAATTTTGAAATGGCGAAATAAATTTAATACATAGTAGGGGGGATAGCTGATACAGGTTACAAAAAAAGACATTTTTCGTGTTTACGAGAAATAATGAAAGTTCCATGTACAATAAAAAATGTTTTTTTTTTTACTTTACAGATAAATTCCTAATTTCATTTTCACAATATATTTAATAATTTTAGAAATTGCATAAGAACTACGACATTTAATTTGGGAAATGCTTTATACGCTTATGAAAAATAAGATCTTTGTACAAATTACGGACGAATAAAATAGTTGATTACATTTTACACCTTACCCATGTCTACGAATTTACGTTTTTTATTTAATAAATTACATTATTACGAAAATAAAATCAATTGATTACAGCTTAGGAAAATATCACTTGCCGACCCTCATAGTAATTTAATATTATTTTATCCTTGCCACAGAGTCCAGGTATGTAAAATCTTACGGTGTTCATGGGCTTGGCAGCCCAAGGTCTGTGTCATATTTATTATAGAAGTCAATCATGATATGATTTTGAATGACTTGGCTGGAATAAGGGTACATATGCAGTCGATACACAACTTCGAAATCCCGGTTCAAACCATAGACCTACCTGGGTTGCCACTCTTTGTCAGGGTATTGACGGGGACGAGGGAGGCGTGGACACAAGAAGTTCAACATTGCCACGTTTGCAAGTTCAGAGTGGTAAAGTCTTAAAATTGTGTACACTAACTCGGGAGTTATGGTGGAGTGTGTGGTGAAAATAGAAACTTGGCTCATGATCTGTGACCTGTGATACAGATGTATTCTACTGATGATGTCGGTAAACATAAAATAGAAGATCGTTAAATTACCGTTTTTAAAAAAACCTTCATTAACAAATGGAATTTTTGTACAAAACTGCAATGTATGGTTACTAATCTCACGAAAAACCCCCCAAAAAACATGGGACGTTTGCGACCTTTTGCAGACGCTACACGTGAATAACCAATATAATAATTATATCGCTGCAATGGCCATTAACAGAGTGATTGCGTAGACGAAAACGAGGCTCTCCAGCAATATAGCGCCCTCGTAGTTCGAACCCTTGCGTCAGACTGTATATGAATGATACCTGTACAATTTATGTGCAATCTTTTGTTTGATGTCAAATTGAAAAAAAAACATTTTTTATTTGCAAAATAGATACTGGATTTTACCATGATAACATTACCTGGAATAAGCAGCAATGAAAAGTATACATTTTCTGAATTGTCGAAGAGACGGATGTGTAGACCAGATTTGAGACACAAACATGTACAAGGTAATGTGTACATGCATGTATTATGGAATAGAAAGGATATTTTTATTGAAGCAATAACAGAAACAATGAAACAAAAAGACAAAAATAAATAAATAAAATGTGAATTAATTAAAAATAATTATAATAAACTCGTTTGTAATTGGTTAGACTAATATAAGTAATCAGTGACAAAAGAATTTGTTGTTTGTGTTCATAATTGTTATAAATTGGTTCATTGTCTTTATCTCAGAAGTATTCCTATCTATCATTGCATACTTTTCTGTACAACGCTTGCTGGTTTAATAATTTTTGCACATTGTTTGTGTATTTTATTTATTTATTTATTTATTTATTTATTCATTCATTCATTCATTCATTCATTCATTCATTCATTCATTTATTTATTTATTTATTTATTTATTCATTCATTCATTCATTCATTCATTTACATGTTTTATCTATTTATTCAATACACAGTTCAACGGAAAAACCCATTAACAGAACTGAAAAAAAAAAGAATAATACATAAAGAAAACACATACAAATACAAGCTATAAGCAAATATACATCAAAATCACAAAGTAACAAAATAAAATTAAAAATAATTATACAGTACAGATTTAAAACTATATAAAAATGAAAAAAATATCAATATTTCGTTTAAATGAAATGTCACTAAATAATGTCATACACCTTAAAAGGAACGAATGCTTCCTGCAGATGACTGATCCACAGTCAGGTTTAATTAAGTTACATATATGGCATACTATGTTTTCAATAAAAATGTTTGGATTTCTATCAGTAAATTATGTCATCCCTATTTATAGTAATTCAATACATTAGAAGTGGTTATGTAATGTTATTTATTTGAATTTCAGACCAGCGTGTAAGTTTAGTTGTGACATCCGTGTCGAATCCACAGAGTCAGGTAGGTTGAATACACAATAATCAGAGGTGTTATCTCTTTATTTTTATAATTTCAGGGGAATTGTAAACAAATATGCATGGAGATTCTGTTGGAGCTTAAAGTCACCATATAGATTCATCTGAATGGTTTGGGTATTTAAAAAGAAAAAATTTTTGAGTAATTGCCGAAATACTTATATAAGACTATCAAGACTTTTGTTGGTATAATTGTAACATTATCATTCCAGTGGTATTTCTATAGTATACTTTGACCACATTTGGCTATATAGCGCCCTCTGTAGGCCAATTATAGTTTTGAAAAACGGCCTGCAGAATAAGTCATGGTTTCGGCTAAGTCGTGGGTAGTTAGATGGCTCCCAAAAATTTGTTTGTGTTTTGCCCGCAGTTTTGAAGTAAAAGAACTAATATTTCGTTGTTGAATAGTGTATTTAATTAGCCGTGACAGGGCTGGGGGCAACAACTTAACATCTACTGTCCATCAATTACTGAAGATACAAAGGGTGACCTGACTCAAGCTGTCGACGGGGTTATGACGGGGTTATGAAGTCACAACTTTATAT